GAACGCCCCAGCGAGGCACACAGACCATCATGCCCGTCCCTCCCTGCCCCGCCCTTCCCTCAACAGCCAGTTTTCCTGAGAAATAGCTGAGGAGATTTGGGCCAAGGAGGGAACAGTGAGCCAGGGAATCATTTTATTTCACAAAGTCCTCAAAAGCTGATAACCAGCAAGAGCCTATGGGAGCGGGCTTGGGGGGGAGGGGAGGGGGAACAGGACACTGGGAGCAGGGTGCTGAAGACTCGTGGTGGAGGTGGGTCCTGGGCTTGGTTTGATACCCTGCTATTCCTGTCTTGAAATCATGCTGCGGGAGAGCAGCTCTGCATTCCCACTTCGTGTTGGGCTCCACAAGTTCTGTAGACCGTCCTCATCTTTGCTGAGGAATGGCCAGCAATGCTGAGGAGTGGGAAAGCTAGAAACCAACCCTGGACTCAGGCCCCAGCCATTGACACCGAAAACATGGGGGAAAAGATGGCTGGGAACCAGAATGTTCTAAGAGCATCAAGCCCCTGACTCAGTTTCCCATCTGGAAGAGGGGTGGCTGTGCTAAGGGGGTGGGAGCGATCTCTGAGCCCCACAGCTGACGACAATGGGAGTCCCTTAGGGACCCTGGGTCAGAAAGAGCAAGTTAGAAAAACGTTTGATTCCCGCAGCTCTTTTGAGAAAAAGCAATGATGCCCAGCAAAGCCCTTTGCCTCCATTGCATCTATGAGAGAGATCTTGATTCCTCGTGGCGGAATTGGGACCAAAAAGAGGACATCCATTCCAGTACTCTCAGTTCTCAAGGGCAGACATGCACTTGGACCAGGAAGAGCTCTAGCAGTGGCCACGCGTGGCTGAGATGGGAGGCAGGTGCCCCGTGGGCCTCCTGAGGTAGCACCCTGCGAAACAGTGCCACGAACGTATTTTTGCCAGACAACGACAACAACACACACATTTCACTCAGATAAAAATCACAAGGAAAACAGTGCACAGCTTCACAGTGGGCGGACTTCTGTGTGACACATCAATGACATAAATGACAAAAACGGGGATTATCTGGACTCAAGGAGGTCTGACAGCCACGCAGGGCTCGATCCCTGTCTAGATCCTGGATTTAGAGAGAAAAAAGCCATGAAGGACATCTGGGGACAGCATGTGCTGTTGAATATATTAATGATAGTATTGTAGCTTGCTGCCACATTACTGTGTGCCGTGTCCTTGCTCCTAAGAGATGCACACAGATAATTAAGGATAACTACATGCAATGTATTTTAACTGATGCAGGAGAAGACTAGACATACCATGTATATGTGTGTATGTAGATATTGTGTGTATATATATATATATATATCTACACATATATATGTATTCATATACAATATATCTATGTGGCAGTCTAGTTGAAGACATGTAAGTGGTTGTCACAGTTTTCAGCTTTTCCGTAAGTTAATGGCTGTCTCCATAAGCTTTCTGGAGCAATGGGCTTTTCAAGGCTGTGAGTTTCTTTTGCTCCCTTCAGAGAAGATTCAGTGCCGAACGCGGTGGCTGTCCCATGCCACCAGCTACAGGATGTAACTAAGGCACTTCCTGGGGTCCGGGAACTCTGGGTGTGTGGAGGGAAGGCATAACCACTGGCAAGCCCAGGGCAGTGCTCGGGGAGGTCACATGGGGTCAAGGACTTTGGAGGACAGTGTGAGGGAGAGAGGTGGCCAGGGCAGAGCAGGCCTTAGCATCCTCTGTGCCCATTACACTGCAGATCCTGAGCCCTGCCTTCATTTCACCTCAGTCTTCCCCCACACTTCTGATCACCCACAAGGTCAGCTGCAGTCTAAGGCTACATGTGTATCTTAGGCCCACGTGTCCAGCCACATGACCGTGTCCTTTGCCATTTCAGAGCTTGCAGTGAACAGTTGCCTGGGCAGAGCTCAGACTTCCAGGCCTCTTCCCCTCATCTCTCAAAACTCAAGTGTTGGGCATGATGACTCATGCCTGTATGTCTAGCTACTCAGGAAGTGGAGAATGGGAGGATGATGGTTCAAGACCACCTGAAGAAAAAAAAACCAAGATACTATCTCAAAGAACAAGCTGGGGGCTGAGCCCAGAACTGAGGCTCAAGTGGTAGGACACTGTCCTTGTGAAAGGCCTGAGTTCAACCCCTACTACTGTCCCACCCAGCTCTCAAAACCACGCCAGCCATCTCTTCTCAGTCTGTGGGCCCTTCCTGAACTCAGCCTTTGGCTAGTGACCAGGCTTCTGGATTTTATTGCCACATTTTCTCCCCCTTCCACATACATTAGGGGTGCACACCCACCCACCACTGAATTCCCAAAGCTTGATGGGGTCTAGAGCTATTCAGAGCTAATGTTCAACAAATGAATGAATGAATGAACACCAGAGACGATGAAGAAACATAAAGCTTACTTTCTCATATAAGGTATACTGGAATCAGGGAACCAGCTGAGCCTAAGCAGGCCTTGAAAGACTCTGGCATGTAGTTTAAAGTATAAAGGTACATTTCAGACACGTAGCACCTTCTTACACAGATAGAATTGCACAAATGTGTCTCTGAGTGTGAATGGTCCCCCAAACACTTCCTAATAAGTCCTGGGAACTTCATTCTGACCTCTTCCAGGACTTTTAAAATCTTTTCCTCAACTTTTAAGTCTGCACACCCAGTTTGAGTGTAGACTTGGTCTCAAGTCATCAAAAACATAAGTTGCTTCTTGGGTTGCATTAAAGATCTGGTAATTTATTTTAAACTTTCACTTAAAAAAAAAGAAAATAGAGGTGAATTTTTCATTGGCAGTGAAATATATACTAAGCTGGGGATTAATACCTTCATAAAAATTTATCTAAACAAAGTACTGCCTGTCTTATTTATGTTAAAGTCTGTAAAGTCTGCAGGGAAAGGGGAAAGTACTTTCCTGGAATCTATTTGTATGTCACAAGCTGTATCTTGAGGAAATTGGCAGGCATGGGAAGTGGAATGATTCCTTGGTGTTCTGTTTGGTTTGGATTTCTTGGAGTCAGGGTGGCTCAGAACCAGAATCAGGGCTGTTTGCTTCTTTCAAGCATTCACCATTTTCCTCTTGCTCTCTTGTGTAGTGTTCAATCAATCATCTTGTTCATACTCTTTTGGAGGCCTTGAGGTCTGTGCTTAAACCTTAGAGAATTACAAAGGAAAAACTTTCCCCAAGTTATCTCCACTGTAGTTTCTCTCCAACTGCCCATGCACAAGTTTCCCTTTCTGAAATGCTGCTTGTGAAAGGAAATGTGGAGTGAAGCCCACTTCTCTGCCTCCCTCCACCCCAACTCTCTTCCCCGGAGGGCGGCCCCCCCTCCCCCCAGGACTTCACCCTGTTGGGGGCCACCTTGCCCTGGCCTGGGTGAGGGTGTCTCACCCACTGCCTTGGCTTGTACTCCGAAGGTAGATTCCTCCAGCCTCCTCCTCTGTGCCCGTCCACAACGTATTTGCCAACAGGAAGAAGAGGGAGAGATCTTCGTGCTGCTCTTAGTGCCCTTCACAAACGTGTGAAAACATTCAGATGCTGTAAAATCTTTTGACGAAAATAAGACCCAGTTAGTGTTGACTTTATGTGTGTGTGGTGGGGGAGGGTGGGGGAGGAGGGGGCGCAGGTTTCACAGCAATTCCTGTTCCTTGTTCAACAGCTGTGTTGTGATGCCTGCCCGGGCTGGGCACCGAGGGCCAGAGCAGAGGTGCAGGCCTGCCGTCCAGCCTGCGGCGCGGCGGTTCCTCGCCCAAGCCGAGGGGGTGGAAGGGAAGATGGCGCCGGCCTGAGGCGCGGTGGCAGGTGGGTGCGGGCGTGGGGGCAGCCTGGAGGACCGCGGAGGGTAGCCAGGCTGCGGCGCTGGCTTTGCTGTGTTTTGCTTAAGACGGATCACAAAAACAGTGAGAGGCGCGGCCCTTGGAACCAGGTGGAGGTAGGTGGGAGGCGAGGCCTCGGGCACTGGGGACGTGTGGCAGGGCGAGGTGGCCGGAGGGCCTGGATGGTGGCAGGGTCCCCCACGGCTCCCCGGCGCTCTCGGAGCGCGGGGACCCTCCCGCGCCCCGGCACCTCGACGTGGCGTGGCCCGGGGATGGCCAGGAACCACTGTGGGCCTGGCCCGCCAGGCCTGGCCGGGCCCTTGATGCCACGCGGAGGCTG